TGGGGGGGGTGTCACAGGTCTCGCTGTCCAGCAGCAGTTTCTGTCCAAGTTCCTCACTTCAGACTTGTAACTGCTTGATTTCATAGACAGTGCTCTGTGTGCTGGTAGGTTTCCCTGTTCTGTGACAGGGTCATCACCACCACCTGGTTGTCTGGGTGCCTGAGACCTTCAGGGCCAGTAAGGAAGGGAGTAATTGGCCTTGTGCCCAGGAATCTTGAGGCCAGTAGTGAGGGGAAGAAGAAATCTGTTTGGTTTGTCTACTTGGTTCACAGGACCTTCAGGGCCTGAGAATGAGGGGAAAGGGAATGAATATGTGACTCGCTTGGTCACAGAGAATGGCTGCTTGCATTATAAAATGGTGTTAGTTACGCTAACCACGTTACCAGTGGTCAGGAGCAAGGGGTACCAGTCACACAAACCCAGGTCTAGGACTAGTTTTTTGCTCTTTGCCAAGGTCTGACCAACATTCAGAATGAAAAGGAGAATAAAAGATATGTTCTGCTGAAGGCTAAGCAGCCAGTCTGTACAAAGACTCTGTCAGCTCATGGCATTACTGGTACCAACCTCATTTCTGGTTCCCTTCTGGTTTTGTCACAGCTGCAGTTTGACCCTGAAGACTTACTGTGTCCTTCCAGTCCACTTCCACAAATCTTAATTTAAACTAAATAATACCATTTGTTGGACCTCTCCTCAGAGGTTTTGTGTTCCAGACACAATCTGTCCCCTTTGGCCTGGCCCCAGTAGGTCCATATGTTATGTGCCAATCTGTCTTCAGAACCTGTCCCAGCAGGAGAAGATGACTGCGTGTAGGTAATCCAAAAGAAGGTAGTCCAAAACAGTGTTGTTTGGCAGGTTCTTATAAGGTTTTGTTATTTTAATGTGAAAAACAAACTGTGGGTCCAGGTATGCAGAGAAGTTGGAATATGAATCATCTTACTTGCTTTTATTTAATTCCGTAATAAGTGGCTTGTATATTAAGGAAGCTACTAAAGTAATTTGTGCAGGAAGTGATCCTGCTCTTTTAGGGGCGGGGTTGCTTAGGAAAAGAAGGGGGGAAATGAGCATCTTTTTAAGAGCTGGAACTGTTTGTGGTCTGAACATTTCTGTGTGTAGTCTCTGTATTATCTGTATGGATGTAGACACTGTAATAGAGAACAAAAATACTATCTGAAATATTTTCATGCTAAGTATTGAGACTGGAGGCTGCTGCCTGGTCCAGGTTCTACAAATGTCTAAAACTGCTTGCAAGCATATTATTTTTATAACAATATCTGGAAAGCTAATTAAAACTACCTACACATCCTCTGTGTATACTCTAATTTATTTTATGCATTACCCTTTTTGTTTTGTTAGCTACAACAATCATCGTATGTATCTATAGCAAGCAACACTGGCTTTACAGGGACATCTAGTATCCAGTCCCAAGCACGGCTACCATTCAATGGGTGAGTGTTTTGCAAAAAATAAAAACCAAACCAAAACAAAAAAACCCAAACCTGTAGTATAGCCTGCTGAATGAGCATCTTCTTTTAGTCCCATTATAAGGAAGGGTGGGAGCTGAGGTGCTGGAGTTTGGTTTGGGGGATTTTCCAAGAAAACCAAGTATACTGTGGTGTGGTTATTACCTCTGACTAAAGGACATGTATCTATCTGACAATTGAGCCAGTCTCTTGATCAAAGCTGTGTTTTCCTTTCTGTTTTTTTGAACTCGTGTAGCAGGAAGTTGACCTGAAAGCTCCCTGTTGCTCATTCTTCATTTTGCATCAGCACCTGGGAGGTACAGACCTCAACTATTTCTTGACATTGGTGGAAAGAGGTGCTGGACAATATAAGAACTAGATGCTTACTTAGCACATGCAGAAATCCAGCTGAACAGCAAAATGGAAGTAAAGCCCAAAATGGATCCTGATAGGAGGATTTGGGTTTTTTTTTTAGTCTTCTATTTTTTCTTTAAGGATGAAAATAATGGCTAACACATATTATTTTCCCTGTGCCAATCCAGCAGGCTTAGCTGTTCTGCACAGTCCTTTTATGTTATTGTTTGCTTGAAATTGTAAATGCCAAGGTGCTTTTTGTTGCTGCAACCTCAACTGATGTAATCTAATCCCAAATCCAGATGCAGCTATTCAAACAAATAGGTTTGATTTAATCTCCCTGGCATTACGTGCAGAAATTGCTGGATAGGCATGGAACGAATCTCATCAAAAGCGATTAGTGACATAAAATCTGAGTTTTAAGAGCAGTTAAAGACTGTGTCTGATATAAAATTTACCTATAAACTGAATACCGTTGGCTTGCTTTCCCATTATTCCAGAGCTGCCTTTTTTTTTTTTTTTTTTTTTTTTTTTAATTAATTCTAACTAGGACAAAAAGAAAGGCACAATCATGTTGTGTGAACCTTGGTTGGATCTAGTCCCTCTGCATGTAGAGGGGTTCTGGGGAAGTTTTCCCTGATTCCAGTTTTCAGTTATGATGCTTCCTCTAGCTTTAAGCCTCATTTCTACTTTAGGCATGCAGCCAGATTTGCAGCAAATAACTCAGCTCTTTCTGGGTTGGAAAGGCACTATATAAAGGCATTATATGTAATAGTTACTTGAACACAGTCAGACAAAAACATAATGCAAGGGGAATATAAAGATTTTTTCAAAGTTTTTATTGGGAGCTATTTACTTGAATTTAAAATGGGAAGAAACTGATAAAACAGTGTGCACGTATATAAATGCACTTTTTTTGCCCTCCCCAGAATAATTCCTTCTGAATCTGCAAACCGCCCCAGGAAGCCTTGCAATTGTACCAAGTCTCTATGTTTGAAATTGTAAGTACAGCTTGTTTTAGTTTTTTTTAAGCCTTATTTTTGACATCACAAATTTATGCCAAGTATCAGAATATAATGTTTTTAAGTATGTCAGAAATGTTATGTCTGGATGCCAGTTTAAGGTTGCTGTTGATATTGGTGGAGATGTTGCAGTGCCTATGTAATTTTGCAACTCCTGTGAGCTGTATGGACCCTAACATTTTATAAATTTCTAACTTTGAAGCCTTGTTGCGTGGTGGAGCCAATTCCACTCAGCAGCTGCAGTTGCGTTGTTGTTGCTATGAGTGAAATGACATCCCAGGGTATCATCAGTGGGCATCTACTATACTTTGGTGAAGCACACCAGTAATACCATGCTGTATCAAGTACTTCAGAAAAATTGGGCTGTGTATCTTTTCTTAAATGTCTGAATAGACAAGTGATTCTTCACTGATAGGTCTGAGTCTTTCTCATCCTCATGAGATATTTTGCTATTCCATTCAGTGTCTTTGTAAGAATTTGACATAAAAGCATTTTAAGTTGAGGAGATGCTAAGTTTCTTTAACTTGAGGCAAAGTCAGTTTACTGATTTTGGGGCAATAACAGGAGATACTGAAATTAACCTGTGGTTCCCTGAATTCTAGACAATGAAGAGGAAATGGTTGGTGTGCTATTCAAAGGGAAAGTGGTGCAACAGTACCTGAACCCAAGTTAAGTTTGTTTAAACTTTCCAGCTTGGGTTTCTTTTCATGTAATACATCCCACCTCTATGTGGGGAGGTGTGCTCTGTGCTTCCTAGCCTCAAAATTGTCTGTTGCGCAGAAGATAGGGTAAACAGGAGATGTGTAGCTGTTTTCTCAGATGTTTTACAACATACATGACTGACTTCATAGTGCCAAATATATGTTAGGTGCCTAGGGTTTTCCACTTATTTTAGTCTTTGGCACATGAATGCTCTAGGAATTATGGGAGAATAATGGCATTGCTAGTGATGCTTTGCACCTTCAGAATGCTGTTTGGAAACAAACTTTTATTGTAAATGACTGTATTTACATCTTTAAGTGGCTAGGCATAGGTGCAGAGCAAATGGCTAATTCACTCTGGCAAAGGTGCCTTCTCACTAGCAAAACCTTTTCCTGTCTGGAAGGGGAGCTGCTTTTTCCCAAATGAATGTTGAAGGTAGGCACATAGCCTATTCTGCAAAGAAGAGAACTCAGAAGTTATTTGCTCGCTGATGCTCTGGGTTGATGCTGGTGCTGTTTGTTTTAGAAACCAGGACCATTCTACTACTGAATTTTAAACAGGACAGAAAAGAGAGCTATTACAGGTTGTAAAAGCTTTTGATGTAGTTTGTCCCTGGCACCATTCAGGATGCTAAAAGTCACCAAAATGCAGTTCAACCAGATAAAGGGTTGAAGTGGACTCCAGGGCAACCCTAATCCTCTTCTTGTAGTGTTACCCTGGGCAAGCCACAGGAAGCCAGTTTTGAAAAGGGTTTGGGTTCCTAAATATGAACATATGCTCCCAGCAGCATTTGAAAAGCAACTGAAGAGGATCAGCAGTTTCCGTCAGCTATAGCTGGAGGTGGTACTGGAAGCATTGAAATGTGCCAGAGTTTGTCATGACCCAAAGCCATGTTTGAGCTGGGGATGTATGTGGTATATCAGATCTGTGGGCTGGTGAGATCTTGGTTTTGGTGGGAGGTAGCAGAGGTACATAAGGGGCATGGCAATGTGATTGGCTTCTCCTGTCAATGATTTGCTGCTTTTTATTCATATACTTGTCCCTTTAAAAAGTCTCTACAGCTTTATCCTCGTTCGGATCCTTTCCCTAATTACCTGTGCTTCAAAGCCTATGAGGTGTACCACTTGTTATTTCTTTTCTATTCTTCCATCCCAGCTTTGGTGAACTCTGCCTCAGTTAACAGCTGCAAACAGTTTATGGGCAAAATTAACCAAAAAAAGGCTCATTGCTGTGTTAGTCAGTTTGCCTGTTGATTATTCCAGTTGCTTGCCTTTTGTTTTGGCTGTATGAGAGCTCCTGAATGCTGACTTAACTGGCTGGGTCAGGAACTTGTTATGAGGTGGCTGCAGCAGGATGGCCCTCAATATATGGGTCAGCCACCCAGGAGTTACCCTAGAAAAAAGTCTCATTAGCTTCTCTTGCTGCGATGGGGACCTGTGCTATATGAACATCAGCTCAGATGGACACCCTTGAGCTATACCTGTGTCTTTAGACAATAACTAGACCTGCGCTAGAGGATTTAGGCCTTGCAATGAGGCTGATACCACTTCTACATGTGGAGTTGAGCATAAGATGACCCTTACCCTTATTGGTGCATGTGCATATCACCAGACTAGGAACTTCTGCTACTGTCATCAGTACTAACGCCAGTGTAATGGTCATGTTTACAAATGCCTTCTGCATCTTCTGTTTCAGGTATTGTGATTGTTTTGCAAACGGTGAATTCTGCAATAACTGCAACTGTACAAATTGTTATAACAACCTGGACCATGAAAATGACAGGCAAAAAGCAATAAAGGTGAGGGGCCTCTTCCCCTGCCCCTGGGATGAAAGCTATTTAGCTTGTGTCTTCTGAAGCTATGGTGTGGGGCAGAGTGGGTGTATAATGCCCTGATCTCTTCCCACGTGCAAGGCTTAAGTTCTTTTATTGCACCTCTGAATTCTGCTCCCCACATGCAGTGACTGACCCTTTGGGTCTGCATTGACAGGCCTGCCTTGACAGAAACCCTGAAGCCTTCAAGCCCAAAATAGGGAAAGGAAAGGAAGGAGAATCAGATCGGAGACACAGCAAAGGGTGTAACTGTAAACGCTCGGGATGTCTCAAAAACTACTGCGAATGTTATGAGGTACGAAGCATTATCTCATCTTAAAGATACTGGCTTTTTCCCTTTAGTGCTGTGACTTCTCTGATTTGCTTTGTCTTTTTTTTGTATTGCTATAATGTTTTCTATTGCTATAATGTTATCTCTTCTTCCAGCAGTTTGCACGTAGAAAGCCATGTATGTGGCAAAATTGATCACTTCTGTTGTATAAGTTTCATTTTAAACCATGTAGCAACTTTGAACTCAGGTTTGGATTTGTCCTTTACTGAAGAGCAGTATTTCCTAAAGAAATCTACTGCACCAAGTCCCTAGGAAGAGTTGAAGCAGCATCCCACAGATGCTGTGGGATAGAACATGTCTGTGGAAGACAAAAGCAAAAGTTGTGTCAGCTAACAGATCAGTTTGGATGTAGAGACAGTGGCAGAGTGACCTCTCTCATAACTCAACAGCCTATATTCCACTGGAAACAGTAGGCTGTTTAAGAAAGCGATGAGTGGGAAACCATTGATTTGCATTTGATTCAAGTATACATTCTGGGAAGGCATCTCAGTTTGAGGTGAGGATTTAGAGAGAAAACTACTACTTGTGCATTTCTTGTAGTGGCTAATTGGTAAGAGATTAAAACATGATCTCCTTTTTGTTGTGGCTTGTCATAAAGGGAGTCAAGGTTGCAACAGGTTTCTCATGTTTTGTTTGTTTCTTTCAGGCAAAAATCATGTGTTCTTCCATATGCAAATGCATTGGCTGTAAAAATTTTGAAGAAAGCCCAGAGCGAAAGACATTGATGCATTTAGCAGATGCTGCAGAAGTTAGGGTCCAGCAGCAGACCGCTGCAAAGACCAAGTTATCTTCCCAGATCTCAGATCTGCTGACAAGGCCAACACCAGCACTCAGCAGTGGTGGCGGGAAGTAAGTTAATGCAGCACCTGGTTTCAGTTGCTTCTAATGTGTTTTTTTTCTGATGTGACAGGTATGTCCCTGTCATCTTTGAGTGTTATCTATGTAAGCTGGAGAAGCAGGAGCGCTCACGTGAATGGAGCTTTTTGTTCATGCAACTGTGCTTTCTGTTGAACCTAGGGTATGCCAAGCTTAGCTGTGTTCAAGCACATAACTAAGCATTGTCTTCTCATGGTTGCCCATGTGCTCAACAGAAAGCGTGAAGTGCAAGTGTCCTGTTTACTGAGAGGATGTAATCTTTGAGCTGCCATTATAGTAAAAGCTGGAGAATTGTTCTATGTACCTGGGCATTTCAAAGTCTATATCAAAATGTACATCAGTGGAGGCAGGCACCAAAGCACAATGGCCCATGAGTTCATTTGGTTGTAACTGTGGCTTATTCACTCCCTGTTGGTTGTCTAAAGGCTCTTGGAAGCAATGAGAGATGAAATCTCATCAGTCCTTGTACTAAAAAGTTGCCCAGCCCTGGAGTTACGTGCATTGTGTGTTTTTGCTGAGAGTGAGTCGATCTTTCTTTGTTTCAGGCTACCCTTTACGTTTGTAACCAAGGAGGTAGCTGATGCAACCTGCGAATGCCTTCTTGCCCAGGCAGAGCAAGCGGAGAAGATGGGCAAGTCAAAAGCTGCAGCAGAGCGCATGATCCTGGAGGAGTTTGGACGCTGTTTGATGAGAGTTATTAACTCTGCAGGGAAGTCCAAAAGTGACACTTGTGCCATGAACTGCTGACTCATGCACATGAGCCACAACGAAGCGGACTGAACAGAACACTTAAGGCACAGGGACACTTTGGTTCGGCATAGAGGATTTAATAATATTTGTTAATTTGGTGCTTGTTGTAAATTGACCTGTGTAAGATTGAAACAAGAAAATCTTTTATAACAAGATGTAGAGCCTTTTAAATCTTAGCTAAATCCTATTCTACTTAAGACAATGCCTAAAGGCCAATTCTTCTTCCCTATGTACAGCTTTTACCTTGGGTTTCTTAAAAATTAGGTGTGTTCTCCCCTTTCCCTCAGAATAATTGCCTGAAGGGCATATATAAATTATTATAATATATATTATTTACAGTGTATGGAGTTGCATCACTTTGTGCATACAGGAAAACACAGGTGATGTCAACAGCCAGGTGATGCTTTGGGTGACAGGCCCGTAATAAGGAGGTATCAGTGTATCCAAGATAGTTCTGAAAGGAAGTGTGTAAAAATAAGCATCTAAGTGGAAGGTAGTACCTGTATTTAGGACCTGACACAGCATGTTACTTTAGTGCATGGAGCACTCTGAAATACCCAGGCAATAATACAGAGGGGTTCCTTGCAGATCTAGCATTGGGCAAGTGGTGGAGAATCTCACTGGAGCGAGGCCCAAGGAGCTTAGAGGCAAATGGAATTAATGGGAATTTTTTGATAGGAATGTAGCTGAGAGCTCAGATGTTTATTAAGCTGGAACTTGAAGGCTAAGACAGTGGCCCATTCTCAGAAGTGAGGAAGGGCAGCCATGCCGCAATGCTGGACTGTCTGCCCAGTGTACAGTGTTACCTAAGTGTGCAGCAGATGGATGTTGTTGCTTAGGTGAAGCTTGGTTTTTCAGAGGTCTGCAGCAGCCTCATCTGTCACTGCAGGTAGGACTGTACAGTCCATTGTGTTTTCTAGGATTGAGCTGTAACCCTGGAAAATTGTTTAAGACTGAGAAGCTAAGATCATGGGAGACAGTGGAACCACAGTTGTCTTAATGAGGACTCGAGACAATCTGCATCCGAATCGACTTGCAAACTCAGGTAGGGATCATGTTCAGCCTGGCTGTGGGTCTTCAGGGTGCTGCTTCTCTGTATGTTGGCAATTTACTTGGCATAAGGTTTTTTTTAGTGTTGTTTAGAATGACTGCGAGAGCTGTGATCAGAGAGGATGCTAGCACAGAATCAGGATTGCTACCAAAACAGATGCACAGATCCTTTTACACGAAGGGGGGCAGGGGGAATCAGCTATAGCTGTGTATAGACTAGGGCAGGGGATTTTTTTTCAGTATTTGTTGTAGGCAATCTCAGATCACATTTCTGATAGTGGAACACATTTGCAAAATTAACCTGGTAGGTTACTTACCTGTGTTTCATCACAGGCATTTTTATTACCTATCTCACTGCACCCTGAAGTAGCTAGATTTTTCCAAAAGGGATTTTGTATTCCTCACATAAAGCTGTAAATACATGCAGCAGAGCTCTTCCTTCAGGTTTTCTAGCATGGCCAGGCTGGTGAAAGGTAGGGGCTAGGCAAACCAGCAGCAGAGCTAAGTGCCTACATGTGTGATGGCAGTACGATGGGAGGACGCTTCCACTCCTGTCTTCACCCCACGGTCCTGTGCACTGAGCAGAAGGCCCTTTCTCCTTGACCCTTCTCTGGTTTCTCCTTGAAATACCTTGGGGGCACAAAGGGCCTGGGAGGTGGCCAGCAGCAGTGGTGGGCCTGTTGAGTGGCCATTTCATACAAGGTTTGACCTGCTAGTCACCATCTGAAGGGCTCTGTCTGCTATTAATATCTCCCTGAGCATAAATAGCAAGTATGTTTGTGCAAATCTCTGAAAAGGGAATCCACCTCTTGTGTAAGTAAATGCCATTTTTTTCATAATTAGGGCTTGGGTTTACTAAAAAATCAGTGCAGTAACTTTACATGTAGATAGTGCGGATATTCAGTTTACTTCTAGTGACCTAATACAGTATGCCCAGTAAGATTTGTATAAATGTAAATTAGTGTAAGTGAATAAAGTAATACCTACTTATGTTATTTTTCAAACAGATTGCAATATGCCTTCTTTTGTTTAGACTTCAATCCATGTTAATTTTGTATATATTCCATGTCTTACTCTAAATTGCACCTTTTGTGATGTGTATTTATATACAGTGTGCAAAAACACTTGTGAAATTTAGATTACAGTTGTAATTATGTATGATGGCATTGCTTGAGAATATTTTGCTTGTAAAGACTTTGAAGGTGCAATCAAATGCTCTTAGTTCTTCTATTTTGTTTTGAACAAGCTTTCTCAAATATTAAGCTTGGATTCCTCTCTCCACTTTCCCTGGTGTAGAATGTGTGAATTGGTTTTTGTACTTCCTTAGCCATTTGCATCAAACTGCTGGACAAGATAAGTTCATCCAGTTACATGAAAATAATTGGGAATGGAGCAAGAGTTCATTTTCTAGTTCTGTTTACATCTGAAAGTAGAAAAATTAAATTTATATTTACTAGACCTATTCAAAGGATACACTTTTCTATATTGTACAAATAAAACAGTCAGATAAATCACAAAGAAAAATAAACATTTATACTATTCTGTAAATATGATTTTTTTTTGCACTCCTTTCCTTCAACACTGACAAATATACACAGAAGATTTTCACTGAAATATCAAAATAAATCTGTTAACGCTAGGCCCACTTCTGATGCAAGTACTGGCCTGGATCTTCAGTATGAGATTTGAATCCTACCAGAGATAAACCCATGGTTACTGGTGTACTGTTATTCATGCATAGCAATTCATGCCACATTGTGGCACAATTCATAAAGGGCCAAAATGTGTCAACCAAGCCAGCACCAGATAGTTGAGAAATTTCTCAATTTCTTTTAAACTATTTAATGAGAGAGCATAGTTTTTTCACATGCACTGGCTGGACAAGAGTTAGGCTCAGACTGAGCAAAAAAATGTGCACGGCCATTCTGCAGCACCCTTGAAGACAGCAGAGTGCTACACAGAACTCCCTGAAGACCCTGGGCAAAACTTTGTTGAGAGCCTTAGACTGATTGTTAGCAGGATGCAATGCACTGGTTTCTGGTGGCATTTGTGTCTGTTTATGTCTTTCTTGGGGAGGAGGTTTGTGAGCAGCTCTTGCAAAGCTGTATTAGTTGGTTGCATTAAGGAATACAAGTCAGTTAAGAGAGCTTGTGGTTTGTTTCTGCGAAGTAAAACCTGAGGGTGGGGGGTTGTGCATCCACTTTCTATGTTCAGCTTTTAGCAGCTTGGTAAATATACTATACGATAAATGCTCAGGGAGTCTTAGGAGTCTTGTTAGGATGTTGAGCGAACAGAAGATGTTAGGGGACTAAGCTTTTCCCCCCCTATCACACCAGCTGCTGTGAGGGAAGGCTGTCATGTTAAGCTGCAGTAGAGGACTGAGAGAAGGAATGAGGTGCTCAAAGTGACTGAGGGGTGTATTTGTATGCTAGCAAGAGTCGGGATGTTTCAGAGAGAGATGGTGAACATCTGAGCAAGGAGTTGCTGAGAAGAGAAAATAGCGTCCAAAAGACACAGTGGGAAAGAGTGGTGCAGAAAATCACTTGGTTGCAGTTGTGGAGTTATGAATGCTGGAAAATTCCACTGAAACCTGATAGTTCCTGTGGTGTGAGTACAGCCAGCAGTATCTGTTGTGGACAACAGCAGGTCTGTATTTTTGGAAAATAATGGCAATTGGTACAGGGTTCCTGTAACAGTTGTCAAGCTTTCTTACAATACTTGATAGCTTTGTAAATTAGGTAACTACCACTTTTGTCTAATAATGTGCTTTTGCTCAAATGCCATCCTACCAAGTCCTATACCTCAACATCTCTTGAAAACCTCTGTCATCAACATTTCAGTGAATTACAAAAGGATATGTGAACTGTGGTGGTCATGGGTACAGGCAGGTCAGCCACAGGAATGCATAGAGCCTGAAGTCAGCTTATCTGCGCAGCAGTCTCCGGCTCAGTTCACCAATTGGCAGCAACTGCACAAAACCCATGAGAAATTCAGAGATGGGGAAGCCCCATGTGCAGCATGCCTGCCATGTTCACAACTTCACCCCAGCAGCCAGGAGCTCATGTACATCTTTGTGCAAGAGCTTTCTGTTCAGGAGGCAGTGCAGTATGAATCAGGCAAGACAAGGCTCCCTCAGATGTAAACAAGAAGTGGAAGCAGCCTTATATCCAGCCAAAAAAATTGCACAGTGAGGAAGTGCCTGTTCGCTATGGCTCAGCTCATATTGGAGCTGGAGGTTTAGGCAATGCAAATGTTACAACATTACATGAGTGCAACCAATCTACCACTGGCACTTCAGCATTTTGCCAGTTTTCCAAAAAATCTCATATATATGGGAGGGAAATAGTTATCTGGAGAGTCTCTTGTAGCTGGAATGGCTCCATGAAAGTGATGGCTTCAGCATGGCTTTTTGCTTAGGCAATTGGACTGGAAAAAAAGTCTAGAGGTTTTGGTTTGCTACTCCCAGTAGAGAACATGTGAAGTTGTGCTGCTGATCTCAAAGCAGAGCTTGAGGAATTGAATGCAGCAGCTCTGCTCCCACCATGAGTGAGTAGGACTAAGGGGAAGAGGAAGAGCCCAAACTGACCAGGGACAGTTTTGTCAAGTCACTGGTAGGCAAAATGGCACCTTGAATATTATTCCTGTCCTAGGACACAGTGGATCACCATTTTTCATCCCATCTCCAACATGTAGCTCAAAAGTAGCTGAATGGCCAGAGTTTTGTGGGAAATAGTTGCCTTCCATCTCTATGGATGCAACTGCTGTTCTGCATGGCAAAGGGAAGCCATTTAGCAGCAGTTATGCCAAACTTCACTATTCCAGGTAAAGCACTGCCTACCAAGGCAGCTTCCTTGCCACGGAAATTGACTGAAGAATCCTGTCCTACTTGGTGGCATCAAATCTATGATTCAAGTAATCAATAGAAACAACACCTGAAAAGGTGCCTTGGGTTGCAGGACACATGCCAGCTCTGGGAGGATGGGGCCATGTGGCACGGTTGAGTGCGTGACCTGATGGGGCCAAGTTAATGGGACCTGAAATGCTTGCCCTGCTGCAGCACACCCATATGCTGGTGCCTGGGGCTCCTGCCCAGAGAGGAGGGTGT